ACCTCACGGGCGTAATTCAATGGAAAGAACCAAACCCAGAAGTACAGAGTGTATGGTTTCATTTATCCAAAATTCCAAGCTGGAAAAGCTGAGTTTGTGGTAACAGAGGCCTCTCAGTGATTGCTCTGGGTGGGACAGGGAATTATCTACTGGGAAGGAGGCGGGATCCCATCTGGAGGCTTGGAAACGCTGCATTTCTTGACAGGAGTGGTAGTTTGACATGGGAGGGTGGACTGACATGTAAACACAAAGTATTTGCTTACGATTTCACCGTGTTGGGACCAACAGTTAGCGTAATGGCTATGTCGCAGGACTCCCATGTAGTCAACCACGGTTCACGTCCTGGACCCGGTGGCTTAAAAATCATGCCGGGCATGTGTGCGTGCGTGCCCAAAATCCCGAGGAGAATGGAGGAGAAGGGATTGCGGCGTGGCCATCCCCCCTGGGGGGTGATTTCTCGCTTTCTGTCTCTCTGTCTCTGTCTCTCTGGCGAGCACATGCACCCTATAGCAAAAACCTCTAAAAAAAAAAAAATTTCACTGTGTCTAAGTTATACCTCAATTTAAAAAAAAAAAAAAGCTCCCACCTGCTCTGATGACCATTGAGATGGTCCGGGTGATTTCCCAATCATGACAATGACCAACCCCCTGTTTCTGTCTTCTCCATGATGGCGAATTTAGTTCCAGGTGGAGAGTTTCCTTCTGGAATGGGTGCTCGCTAGAAGCTGAATTCCGAGTGTCCCGGGCCTTGGCATTTCCATGTGCCTGTCACCCCTACCGAGTCTCCGTGAGTCTGCCTCCCCTTGATTCTGCTCACCCCCGGAATGGCTGGAACCCCAAAGAGATCCCTGGCCTGCATAACCTCAGCCTCCAGCGCCACACACCCCAAGAAGCTCCACCAGCAGCAGCTTCTGATTCGAAAGGCAGCCAAGCCAGGGCCTGTGTCATGAGGGCCGAGACCCGATCGCTTCATTCCGTCTATCAAACCACAGATGCTTCTGGGCCGGGCTCCGGTGTGGGTGTTGGAGAAACTGTCATGAAGACAAACCAGGCCTGGCTCTCAAAGCGCATTGTTGGGGAGACAGAGAGCAAGCAAGAAAGCAGAGTAAACGGGGTGGTCCGAGAGAGTGCCGCGACAACTCTAAAACGGGGAGGACAAGGAACAGTGGGAGAAGAGACGTCTGCTTGAGAGAGACGGAAGGAGCAGGGCTGTGGAGTCAGACAATCTGGGACTGATTCCTGGCTCTGCTACCCACCCACTGCGTGACCCTGGGCACGGACTAAACCTCTCTGAGCCTCTGCCTCTTCATTTGTAGAATGAAAACGATGACGCTTTCTTCCAGGGCAGGTGTGGGGGTTTCAAGCAATATATGTAAAACATCTGGTCAAATAGCATGTGTGCGCCCCATAAATGACAGCTCCTGAGAAGAAATTGGAGCAGGGGACAGGATGGGAGACCACCCGCTGTGGTCCCCTACATCCCAGCCCCTCGCTCAAAGCAGACATTGAACTGGTAGGGACGTTTTGTGACGTTCAAAATTCATGCTGGAGGCGGTACTGGGGTTGGGCAATACAGGGAGGGATGGAGCCCTTCCCGAGCAACCCTCCGCTTACGACACAGCACCCAGCACCCCCAGCTGTGTGGCTTCGGCAAGTTCCTGGAGCCTTAGCTTTCTGGTTTGGAAAATGGACTTGTTGTGAACAAACAAGTAAACTCCTGGAAAGGCTTTAAAACTCGAAGTGCCAGCCAGCGATAGGAGTCTATAAATGATCCTGCACCCCTCTCAAGAACCAACCTCCCCTGGAGCCCTCCAGCCCCTCGCATCACAGGACCTTTGCCTTCTCCACAGACGGGCGTCGGTACATTCCTAGGCCCACGGCAGATTCCCAAGCTCCCTGCCCAGTCCCGAGAGGCAGAGAGGGCAGGTCAGAGAAGGACGTAGGTTTGGAGGAGGAAAACACCTTGTCCGTGCCACTCACTGGGACAACAGCAGAGCCAGGATTCACACCCAGACCTCCTAACCTGCTGGCTTGGGACTCTGGTCACTGTCCCAGTTACCATGAATCACCCCTACCCCGCCACACACACATTCTGCTTATATCCCCAGGGAGCTTGTTAAAATGCAAACTCCCAGGGCTGACTTTTCAAGGGTGGGGCCTCGGAGTTTATATTTGGAACAAGCTCCCCTGGAATTTCCGAGGCACAGCTGGGTTTAGTAATCTCTGCTTGACACCAAACTGGTGGAGGGAAAGTTGTGCAGGATTTTGGAACCAAGTGTTTCCCCTCCTGATCTATGAGGCCTTTCCTACTTCACTCTCCTGAGCTCCGTCAACAAACTCTCACGGAAAACAGAAATAGCATCCTCCATCCTGCACGCCAGGAAGTGCTCACTGACAGTCACGGCAGAACACGTCCACTGCCAGTGGGTGCTGCAGTCCCCTCCCGCCTCCGAGAGACACGGCACACAGGGTGCATTATTAAATGCTCTGAAAAGTCCTGCACTAAACACATTTAAGTAACTCCGTTGTTCTTTTTTTTTTTTTA